GGGGGGCTCTGATGGTAAAATGGGGGACTCTGATGGTAAAGGGGGACTGGTAGAGGAGGACATGAGATGGGGGAGAGGGGACTGGAGAAGGAGGAAGACATGAGATGGAGGAGATGTTTACATTGCTTTATGTTAATATTGTTAAATTTGTTGTTAATATTTATTCTGCATAAGACATTTAACAGTGTCATTTCAGTAGATAATTTAAGAGGGCGTGTTTAGGGGTGGGGCAGGGTAGGGGTTGGGTGGGGCAACTGGTGGCGAGTAACTCTTAAGTCCTGGCTAGTAGCTTAGGACTTGAAATGTTTAGCCTTGATCTACCTAATTAGGAGTTAAACTACAATTGGCCTTTAATGTTGGTTTTCATGCTGAATGGGGCTGTACTTTAGTGCCACCTTTAAGATTCAGGTTTAATGTTTTATTCAAGGTTGCTTTTGCCTTAAATGTATAACTGAAATACAATCTCAGCTAGTGACCTCTATGGCCAGCATTAAAACTTGTTATCTCTTGGTCTCTGAGCTTCCTGCTGCCGTGGACACTTTGGAATCAGCACAGAAATGCAGAATTAGCATGCTTGTATTGTTTCCTTGCTAGAAAATAGTGGCAGGATTGGGTGAGGTCATGGGTGGATGGGACAAAGCACCTGAAGTTGTGATGGCGGTGGGGGTTGTGTGGCCTTTAAAGTAGAACTATAGGCAAAACTTTCTTTATTGTGGATAAAGTAAAGGAGGGTTTAACTCCTGTCAGTTTATTTTTTACCATCTGAGTCCCATTAGAGATATTTCCCTTCACTTCCTGTCCCATAGCCAAAACAGGAAGCGAGAGGAAATCCCTGCAAATAAGGGGAATTCCTTGGGGACCCCCAGGTCACCAGAACTAGTGTGCCTGTTGGAGGATTTCCCTTCTATTACTTTTGTGGGGAAAACCCAAAAACCCAAAATTTGGGGATTTCAGCACAGTGGCTAGCACTTCTGCCTAGCAGCATTAGGGTCGTCAGTTCGAATCCCAACCCCGGCACTGCCTGCCTGGAGTTTGCATGTTCTCCCTGTGCCTGCGTGGGTTCCTACTGATACTCTGCTTTCCTCCCACACTCCAAAGACATGCTGGTAGGTTAATTGGCTTCTGTCCAAATTGACCCTAGTATGTGTATGTATGAACGCGAGTTAGGGACCTTAGATTGTAAGCTCCTTGAGGGCAAGGATCAATGTGAATGTACAATATATTTGTAAAGCGCTGCATAAATTGATGGCGCTATATAAGTACCTGTAATACTTAAAGGTAAACCGGACAAATAGAGAGGGTGAATCTCGCTAACGGGGACAAATGTAATAGGTGTTCCTATCCATCTCTGCTCTGTCCAAAACTTAAAAAAAAGATGACTGACAACTCATGGGGCCCCTGGGCAATAGGGGATCAAGGGGCCCCTGTGTCCTTGCCCAAACTCAAAAAAGCCTATGAAAAAGGTACCAGGGGCATCTCATGGGGCCCCCTACTGGCCCCGGGCACTCGGGCAGTGCCCGAGTTTCCTAATGGTCAGTCCGCCCCTGCGCACAAGAATCCTTGAGACTTACAATGAAACCTGATCATGTTATTATTTTTAGTAGAATTATAATAGCGTTCAATGAAAATTCAGGACAAAATAAATGCACAGCACTTTGGCACAAAATATTTTAAGCAATCATTCCACTGAAAGCTATTATTTTGTTTATGGTTTGTCTGTGCTGGGTTGACCAGTTATGCAGGGAAAAGGGAGACCATTTTGTATAGTGCCGGATAGGTAGACACCAGAGAGGTGGTGCTGCTATGGCTATTTTGGTTACTTTTATAGCTTAGATATGTGAATTGTAAGATTTTAGTTGCATGTGTTTTTAGAAGCTTGGCCTCCCTTACTGATATGCTAATGAACCCATTGGACTGGTTCCTAAGCTCAGGACAGGAAATGATGCTACAGAAAATTATGTAGGCAGGAGTAGGGGGAGGGAAAGAGGACTTGAACAAACCATTCACTCAGGAACAAAGGAATGGTTGTTTGCAGGTCTCTGAAAAGGAAGGAGCCATTAGAAGACTCATCAAAGGAAGAACCAAGGTAAGTAATGCTTTAGTGCAGTGTTTCTCAACCTTTTTTCAGTCAGGGCACCCTTTAAAATTATGGACAGTCTCGAGGCACCCCTTTAAAAATATGGACAGTCTTGAGGTACCCTATTCTAAAATGGAGTGCTTCTAGACTGTCCATAATTTTAAAAGGGCACCCCATTCTAAAATGTGAAAAACTATTCTAATAGTTTTATACAATGCAGCAACATTCACACGTGTAGGACACCCAACATTAGAGGTGATGTATTCTTCCAAAGCAAATACACATTTGCACACTGGTACTGACTAGTATTCCAGTGTTTCTCTTCTCCCTCAGTTTTTCTCCATCATTGAGCTAATGTGACCTCAGCACTGATGGAGAGGGGAAGGGGAGGGTCAAACAAGGATGCTGTGCAGGCAGCCGACATCCTCCTTATCAACTGATGATGTCATTGGTTGTCAGGACGCTGGCGGCTAGAAGGTCGTAATGGTGCACAATGAAAACCTGTGGCTCTGTGTAACTAAAAGGCAGGCTTTTTCCACCTGGTGGCTTGTATACAAGTTTTGGGCAATTTTTAGACATTTTGCCAAGGCACTTCTGAAGAAACCTCAAAGCACCCTGGCTGAGAGGCTGGTTTAGTGTAAGCTGTACACATACATTGTACATTCCTGTTTGTTCAGAAGGGTGGTTTGTGCATGTTGTATGTATATTTTTGCAATAGCTGTCAGTCTTGTACTATATTCCTATAATTGTAAGTTTGTATGTGCAGCAGTTTATTTGATAAAAGTACATTAATATACTACAGAAGTTTAATTGCTTCCTTGGTTATACTGCAAAGTAACCTTAATAGACAAAGAAAAACATTACAAGAAACTACTGGATAGTTTAGACGCCAAAACATACATTTTTGACAGACTGACCCCCTTTTCTTCTTGTCTACTGAAACCTTACCGCTTACAGCTTTTCTTCGATGCATTTCAGGTGACGGTGAAGGTGAAGGCAGACAGTCAAGGTGTGACGATGTGGAATTATTTTTCTTCTGGTTTTGCTCCTCCATGAGATCGAGAAATCTGGTTATTGGCAGTCCAGGAACTGGCTGTTTATACCTTGCATACTGAAGAGCATCCATGATCCATCGCATGTCACGCCAAATTTCATCTGTTTGCTGTTAAAATATGAAAAATAAATATGAAATATTTATGTAAAAAGACTTATATCATATATATATATATATATATATATATATATAATTATTATTATACAGTATTTATAAAGCGCCAATAGTTCTCTTAGCGCTGTACATTACAAAGGGGGACAGAACATGTGACAGAACAGTACCAATACAATGCAAAACATGAGGGGATTGAGGGCCCTGCTCCTTCAAGCTTACAATCTAGGAGGGAGGGGATGGTGGCCCCGGCGTGGGAGGAGGAGACCAGGGAACTAGAGAGAAGGAGGACTTGTGAGGAGCGGAGTGTGCGTGTTGGGCGGTACTTGGATATTAGGTCAGTGATGTAGTTCGGGGCAGTATGGTGGACAGCTTTGTACGTCAGTGTTAGGATTTTGAATTTGATCCGTTGCGCAATCGGAAGCCAGTGGAGGGATTGGCAGAGGGGGGTGGCGGAGACAGAGTGGTTGGAAAGGTGAATGAGTCTGGCAGCCGTATTCAGGATCGACTGAAGCGGGGATAGCCAGCGGCGAGGCAGGCCAGTGAGGAGGGAGTTGCAGTAGTCATATATATATATATATATATATATATATATATATATATATATATATATATATATATATATATATAATTTGGGTGCTCACTGCAAAACGCAGGAAGCATTTGGTATGACAGCATTACACAAACATCTTAAAACTCTAGAACAGTAACCACAACACAAAACAGAGGGCGCACTGGCTTGGTGCATTATCCTCATAACATGTTTACTTTTTCAAAAGTGGTAAGTATTATACTCACAAAGTGACAATTGCATTAAAAGCTCATCATAAAAACAACAGCATCCAGTTCATGATACGTCATGGCAAATGACAGGACAAAAGGACCTCCAACAACTAACGCGTTTTGAGGACTTGCCTTTTCCTCAGAGCTTCTGATGTTGAGCTTTTAATGGAATTGTCACTTTGTGAGTATAATACTTACCACTTTTGAAAAATAAAACATGTTATAAAGGATAATGCACTAGGCCAGTGTTCCCTCTGTTTTGTCTTGTGGTTACAGTGTTTCCAGACTTCCCCAGTCTTGTGAGGGCCCACAAGTTAAATTGCACTGAGTAAATACAGCTTGATAAAACAAAAACTGTCTGTCTTCATTTCAGGCTGCAAAGCAACAAAATGTAATTCTTTTAAAGGGGGGGGGGGGGGGGGGGTGACTCTTTTCTAAACCCACTGCATGCACTCACCGGCCACTTTATTAGGTACACCTTGCTAGTAACGGGTTTGACCCCCTTTTGCCTTCGGAACTGCCTTAATGTTTTGTGGCATAGATTCAGCAAGGTGTTGGAAACATTCCTCAGAGATTTTGGTCGATATTGACAAGATAGCATGCCTTTCTATCATCTCAAACCAGTCTGCCCATTCTCCTCTGACATCAACAAGGCATTTTCATCCACACAACTGCCCCTTACTGGATATTTTCCCTTTACAGACCATTCTTTGTAAACCTTAGAAATGGTTTTGCATGAAAATCCCAGTAGATCAGCAGTTTTTGAAATACTCAGACCAGCCCATCTGACACCAACAACCATGCCAGTTTCTGAGTCACTTAAGTCCCCATCGTGATGCTCAATTTGAACTTCAGCAAGTTGTCTTCACCACATCTATATGCCTAAATACATTGAGTTGCTGCCATGCGTTTGGCTAAAGTGGTCGGTGAGTGCATACTAGTATCTATTTGGAGGACCAAAGGAGGTGAAACATTTATCTGATTGGTAGGCATATCTTTCCATTGCTATTAGACCTTCTTTTTACTAGGAGGCAGGGGCGGGCTGACCATTTGGAAACTTGGGCACTGCCTGAGGGCCCGGGGTCACTAGGGGGCCCCATGAGGTGCCCCTGGTACCTATTTCATAGGCTTTTTTTAGTTTGGGCAAGGACACAGGGGCCTCATGATCCCCTATTGCCCGGGGGCCCCATGAGTTGTCAGTCCGCCCCTGCTAGGTGGTCATTTATATCTGGTGAGTTTGCTTGGCCCCTGGGGATTCCTGAAAGATGTGAATTAAACATCCTAAGCACACTAATTTGAAAGCGTTATTTGGAACACCTTGCGGCACTGTGGGGCTGCGTCTGACATTTGCAGTGAACACTTATTTGGTGGATGGACTTTGATAACCAAATAAATAGGTAAACAAAGGTACAGTTTTCCAATTTTAGATTTAATTTATTAAGGCTTGCACTTTAGTTCATATGATCTATGATGTATTCATTTATTTTTAACCTTGCATTAATTGATATTTTTAGACTTAGGGTATAACGTATGTGATTGTATTCTATTTTTAGAACTGTATATTTTTTTCTGTTTAAGTTAACAGAGGAGACTCAATCGCGTTCCTACATGGCTGCTTGCAGAACCACACAACTGAAGCTAGCATCAGAGAAGATCTGAACTTCCACTTGATAAGACCTAATGAACATGTGAACAGAAGACCAAGTGGAAGCCTTGCAAATCTCAGAAAAAGAAGCCTGATGCTGAAAATACCACATAAGGCACTTAATAATCTAGTGGAATGTGCTTGACAGGGAAAGGTGGAACTTTGTCCCTAACATCTATAGTCTTGAATGATGAGATGCTGAATCTACCTGGAAATAGTGGAATGTGAAGCAGGGTGTCCCCTACGTGCGAGATAACCTCAAACAGTGCACACCACATTAGGGAAATATCCTTGGATTGTTGTGGAGTAGACACAGAAACAATGTCATGGTTAAGGAAAAAGGGAGAAACCACATAGGAAAGAAAAGAGGCCTTAGTTCTCTCTCTGTTGCACAAGAAAGGGTTCTTTACAGGTTAAGACTACCACCTCAAAAGGTTTGAGCCTTGCAGAGGTGATGGCAATGAGAAAGGCAACCTTGTGAGAAATTGTAGACAGAGGAACATGAATTTCTGACAGAACTAGGTTGCAATCCTATGGATTTACTGCGGCATGGACAAGGGGAATAATATGAGCAACACCCTGTACGAAAGCTTCACCCAGTTTTTGAAAAGGAATTGCCAGGGTCAAGACTTGACCCTTGATGGAACTCAAGGCCAAATGTTGATTTGGAGAAAACTGGAGAAACGACAGCATTAGTTCCATGGAGTACTTCCCTGGGATTGAATATCCTTTCCTCGCACCATGAGAAATAGGTTTTTCTAGGGTACAATGCTAGACTTTACAATAAGTTATAATGCTAGACTTTGAAATAAGTTACTTTTCAATGTTTCAAGAACATAGGGATAACCGTCTGATAACTTGTCTGGCTTAATCCTGGTCAAAGGATATAGCAGTCAAGAGGTCCATCATTGAAGGGGAAACCAATTGTTCATAGTTCCAGAATGCTGACTGGGAGACCAGATTTACCATGTCAACCTTCCTTTGGGCTCAAACGTTCCGCATTAAATCTATTAGATTACTCATTGCTTCTCCCCTGCCTGGAGACTCTCACCTCTGTGGGCATCAAAGATACCTACTTGCATGTCCCTATCTTTTCATTGCACCAATGCTTCCTGTGTTTTGCAGTGAGCACCCAATATTACCAGTTCATTGCCCTTGTCTCTGAACCGCCGCATGCACTTGACCCTGCACACCAGGCTTGCCCTGATCGGGTGGGTCAGAGGTTCAGCCACGGAGTCAGGAAAATCCATCCTCCATCTGGTCTGAAAGGTTCCCATGATGGATGACAGCCTGCTTGCTATTCGGGCACTTGGCAGAGGGGAGGTGCCAGGATTGCTAGCGGGGGGATCCAAAAAGAAAAGGATCAGGGCTGCTCTGTACAGAACCATTACACAGAACAGGCAAGTATAAACATTTTTTTTTTCAATTACAACCATTAGAATCACTATAATGCAGTAGTAAACCACAAAATAAATAAAAAAAATCTTCTCCCTGAATGTTAAGAGTATAATGTGCTAGTATGCATCACATACTAGCACATTATGAAAGACTTGCCTGAAAATAAAGCCCTCCAGCAGAGCATTGTCACGGCTCCCCGGGGCTTCTATCTTCACCTGGTTTTCCTTCTGGGTTTGCAGGCCATTTGACTGGCCAAGCCACGATGATGCCACTCCCAAGCATACATGTGGGAGTTTTGGCTGTGGCACTGCTCTCTGGCATGCTGTCCATTGAGCACGCAGTGTGCAAGCACCGGCAAAATCACAGGCACTACAAAAGTAAAACACTGTATCTCCTAAATGGTGCATGTTTAGGAAATATTTATAGTACCTACAGGTAAGCCTTATTAAAGGCTTACTTGTAGGTAAAGCATACAAAATCGACTACAGATCTACGTAATCTTTAACACTTAACTAGAAGGCAAAAATGTAACCGAACACCTAAATCATAACTCTAGTCCTAAACAGTAACTCCAGACCTTACTAGAGTATGGGGTCCTGTAAGCAACTATGGTGTATACAAAGTGCTAGTGAATAATTAAATTGCAATTCTCCCTGATGAAGGCATGTGACCCGGTGGCGTAACGCGTAGGGGAGGGGCCCTGACGTCACAACGATTAAAAAAATATACAGCAAGTATTCAGCAACATTGAAAAACTTTACTGTGGACTCAAATTTCAACATTTGTATGAGTTTTTAACTTGTAAAACATGTGAGTGCACCACTTTATTTAATAAATTAATTTTAAAGAGGATGAAGCACTATATTTTTCTTTACATTTCATGGCTATTACATCTAAGGAAGCAAGAAGGAGACCCCCTAGTTGGAAAAGGGATATTCCTGTCCATCCATTCGGCTCCAGGAAAATCCATAAGGAAGAGAGGGGACCCCCTGCTGGAAAAAGGGAACACTCAGTCCATCCATCCATCCATCCCAAGAAAAGAGGGATAATCCTATCCATTTACCACTAAGTCCAATTAAAGAGACACAAGCTTTTTATGACCTCACTTAACGGTTTGGTCATATATAATAGGTGAGAGCACAACCGGTGAAGGTGATTTTTATATGATTGGTGGACTGCGTGGTTATTATTTCGTATCACAGAAGTATCAAAGTCAAGGGCTTAATAAGGACATATTTGCAGCAGTAATATAATTGCAGTGATATATATACATATATATATATATATATATATATATATATATATATATATATATACACACACACACACAGTGGGGCAAAAAAGTATTTAGTCAGCCACCAATTGTGCAAGTTCTCCCACTTATAAAGATGAGAGAGGCCTGTAATTGGCATCATAGGTAGACCTCAACTATGAGAGACAAAATGAGAAATAAAATCCAGACAATCGCATTGGCTGATTCGGAAAGAATTTATTTGCAAATTATGGTGGAAAATAAGTATTTGGTCAATATCAAAAGTTCATCTCAATACTTTGTTATATATCCTTTGTTGGCAATGACAGAGGTCAGACGTTTCCTGTAAGTCTTCACAAGGTTGGCACACACTGTTGCTGGTATGTTGGCCCATTCCTCCATGCAGATCTCCTCTAGAGCAGTGATGTTTTGGGGCTGTCGCTGGGCAACACAGACTTTCAACTCCCTCCAAAGGTTTTCTATGGGGTTGAGATCTGGAGACTGGCAAGGCCACTCCAGGACCTTGAAATGCTTCTTACGAAGCCATTCCTTCGTTGCCCGGGCGGTATGTTTGGGATCATTGTCATGTTGGAAGACCCAGCCACGTTTTATCTTCAATGCCCTTGCTGATGGAAGGAGGTTTGCACTCAAAATCTCACGATACATGGCCCCATTCATTCTGTCCTGTACATGGATCAGTCGTCCTGGTCCCTTTGCGGAGAAACAGCCCCAAAGCATGATGTTGCCACCCTCATGCTTCACAGTAGGTATGGTGTTCTTTGGATGCAACTCAGCATTCTCTCTCCTCCAAACACAACGAGTTGTGTTTCTACCAAACAGTTCTATTTTGGAGAACTTGCACAATTGGTGGCTGATTAAATACTTTTTTGCCCCACTGTATATATATGTATTTATGCTGGACTATTATTTATTCAATTTCTATTTAATATTCATTTAATCACAATTTTATTTTAATTGGTATTATTTCTGACAGTAAACTCCAGATCTTAAAGTGTTATTAAACCCAGGACCCTGCATTCACTATATCTGGTATCCTACAGTACACAGAACATGGAAATGCAATTATTTTAGTAAATATAAAGTGCTAAATACCTTTTCTCATCAGCAGTTAGAGCAGTCTTGTGACTTCTATCAGTGTCCTGCTGAGCACTGGTTAATCTTGTAGGAGGAGTTTTCATTCTCCTCTGACTGTCCTATGAGGCTGCAAGACCCCTGACCCTCTGTCTGGCTAGTACTGATTGGCCCTGTGTTGATCACTCTCTAGCAATACACACCATACTGAGCATGTGCAAAGTGTCTCCTAGGGCTCTGTACTATCAGCAGATGAACTGGGAACAGTATAAAAAGGGGAGGATCAAAAGACAACAGAATCAAACAGCCTTTTTACATAATGAGGATTAACCCCATTGGTTCCACAGTGAGTATAACAAGCATACTTTACTGCATATACAGACTGATTTTACTGTTGTGGGTTAGTAACATTTTAACACTAATTTAACCCGTGGCAAATTGAGAATTTCCTTTGGTGCCAAAAGCAGCAAGCTGTTCTGGTGCCAGAAGCTCTCCGTACTAAGCAAAGATCTTGGCACTACGAAGAAATAATAAAATAATAAACAAAAGTTTATAAATGAACAAACAAACAAAAAAACAACATGCAATACTTAGACTGGACTGATGAAACTTATCCTGCAATGCTGGGTCCTGTGTTTTTGCTCCTTTATTTTCATAACTATACCGTATTTACATAGCCTTTCCCTGCTCTCCATAATGTGCGGTTTGTGGAAGTGGCGGCTGTACAGTTCAAATGTATGATCACACACATGTTTCTGTGGTTTGTGGTCAGTGCTGCAGATCACTGTGGTCTGCACAGATGATTTATTCCTTACAAGGTAAGGTACAGCTGCTTTTTATTAGCTTACAACCCGGGGAAACTTCATAATCAACCAGCAGA